ACAATAAAATGCCTTTTTCTTCGTTGTAATTATCGCCAACTTAATCACCACCCCTCTAGGGGTGGACTCCCATATAAAAAGGCCGAGGGTGCTGATCGGAAATTTTGAAAAGATCCCCTAAGAGGTACCAAGATCCTGTTTTGTGGGCGTGGCTTGAAATGTTTTTCACCCTTAACAGGTACCAATTCTGAAACAGCAAATTATCTCCTGTCATACGGTATTTTTTTTGGCTCAGTACCCTAAAAGGTAGCGCGAAAGCTCCCGCTGTAGATCTTTTGAGGTTGAGCACCCTAAGAGATACCAATTCTAAAACAGCAAATTTTCTCTCGTCATATTTTTTTAGCTCAGTACCCTAAAAGATACTGCAAAAGTTCTCGCTGTGAACCTTTTGAGGCTGAGCACACTAAGAGGTACCAAAACCGTGCTTTTAACCTCTGGATGGTACGACGAGCACCCCTGTCCGTTTTATATGGGAGNCCCCCCCCCCACCCCGGGGATCACCGTCTCAAACCCCAGCCAAGATGGCGTTGAAGACCACGAACGATTCTGATCTCCGGGGTTACAGTTGATCTAGATCTGTTCTGACTGCTTAAATTGCTTCACCACATACGCTATCACCCACAGTTGGCCAATTATTCTGAAATTGCCAGTTAGCATATAGAAACAAGGGTTAGTCACTTAATTAAAAAAAATAGTGTGCAAGTATTAGCTATGATATCAGACTGTTGTGCTGGCGTTGAAATTTGCAATCACCCTCCCTCTTCAAACAGGATCAATATGATCCCTTTAGAGCCGAGAGGGACGGGTGCATTATGCTGTATTGCCTTACAGCACCTGGGGCTTTATGTCTGAAGGATCAGCCGTGGTCCCACTCGTACCAGGACTGCGCCTGAAAAACTCCCTTGGACGGCGGGTAGCCTGTTAAGAAATGGGATGACGTGATTCATTAGTTGTTCAAGTGTTCTAAAAAACACTTCATGTACTCATCTTGAGATTCCCTCCGTGAACGTTGGATCCAGTCCTAAACTAATTATGAACATTACCTTGACATGTTCGGTTTACTTGCTGATCAAAAAGTACATACCGCAAATATCAAAAACTTGTTCAAAAGCTGGTTTCTTAAACTTATTAAAGGGCCACTGTCACGAATAAGTTTGCCTAAAACTGAGGGGGGAAGGGGTACTACCAGAAAAATTGGGGGTGAGTGGTCCACTTCCCAAAATCCTTACCCTATTTATGACCAAAATCTGGGATTTTCCCTACCCTGTTTATGACCTGACCAAAATTTCGATACCCTTTTCATGACGTGATCCTTTAATCAATACCCTGTTTTAGACCTTCCTTATGATTAGTCATCTAGTTCAGACCAAGGCATTGTGAAGGCCTTTTGTTGATGATCTTATCGACAATGATAAAAAAGTAGCTTCTCTTAAAAAAAACACACACACACACAAACCCATTTCAAGACGAGCGCAAAAACCATCCCTGCTTATGGCCAAAATCGATGCCCTCTTTATGACCAAAACGACTGAAAACCCATGCCCTTTGGGGCCGCACATACCTATATAGCCCATATAAGAGAGAGACCCCCCCCCCCAGCTCCACCCCCCGCGAGGTGATCCAACAGAGAATTCTTTTTCAGAAGCATGAGAGAGAAAAACTTTACCTCAATGAAGAATAAGCCTGATTTGGAGGTGGGATGCCTGTAAGCATACACACACCAAGCGGCGATACCAATAACAAAGAGGAGTAAAAGGACAATCCCAAAGATGGCTCCACCTCCTAGTCCCTTTTTCTCTTTGATTTTTTGTTCTTCTTTCTTAGGGCCAAAAA